CCATTCTACAAATCCACCAAATATAGAATACGAGGCGAATTCCTCCAATGCCGGGGTTTCCGTCGCCTCCAGATGCATCAATATGGCCGGAGTGAATGCAGTCACTGGGGTCAATGCTAGTCAAGCCGCCGGCGCCACGGGTTTCACCTTCTTCCGCTCGCTTACTGCGAAAATTGGAAGACGGTGAGTACTTTTTCGTGGCTATTTTGCGCTCTAGGTTCACCATGTATTGGCTCTTGAATCGGAGTCAGCTGCATTCCTACGTCACATCTCAATAACGTATGAAAATTCAATCTATGTTACGAGATTTTGTATTGTTCCGATCCCAAAATTGCCTCTTGTTGGACATACTAATCAAAGCGCACCGTTTTCCGATCACTTTAGAACATCGATCTTATCTGGCTGTGCTCGTATGCACAGATTCTTTCACGGTCTTTGAACTCCCAAATGTTCGTGTTGATCAGTTTGAGTCGAACATCCAGCATGATCGGTCCATCCATAACGTCAAAGGAAGGTCTGAAATGATTGATTTCTCCTAATTTTGCAATGTGATATAAACCTGAATGGCAATGCGTCTGTTATTCCTTTTTCGTTGTCGGGTTCAGCGTCGTTTACCAACAGGGAGAGTGTATGTTTTCTAAAGCGTCAACTACAAAACTGTGTCCCTGTGGCGTCGTGGATAATACGTCTGCTTGCTATCAAAAGCAGAATTCTCCTAGAGCCACATATACGTACTCAATAAACTAATCTTGACCATTTTTCCGTTTATTTGAGATTTTGTCACTTTTTCCCAGGGCTTCGGGACTTCTACAGCAAACAAACAACCGTATCACGCTTTACCCTAATTGTCATCATTTCTGGTTTTACCGTAATAAGAAAGCATAAAATACACCTTACACTTTTGAAATTGTTGAGATTTAAGATGAAATGTCAATTTAGTTGATCACTGGGGCCAGCCAAGTAGTGCAGTTGTCATATAGGGACGGAAAACCTTTCACGGTCAAGTTCAAGCCGGCTCTGGCTCGATACTGGGACACGGTTGGCAATCAATAACGGAATTCAATCGGTGGTATAATACATTCAGGAGTTGAATAATGTTGAACTCGGTTTTCGTAGCTCGGGTGAACTAGATTCCATTTCGCCCGTTCACCGAGCTGGGCAATGTGTTTGCATATGTTTCATCACCAGCCGAGATGACATCATCAGTGCTTGTGAAGTGTTTCACGTTTGGGCAGCTCCTGATTAATAACTAATCTTTGAATCTTCTGCTACTGAAAGAGTTTAGAATGGACGGATAGATAACGTCTACTTCTCTTTAGTACTTGTTCTTCTGGTTTACCTTAGCACTTTACAATCACATCAAATGTCTAGTCGCATTGAAGCCCCACTGTTGTCGTCTGAGATAATAAACACAAGCGTGATGTCTGTCTGCTGCTTTATGTATTACCTGGACCACATTCAACAGTTTATTCTGACCGGTTTCACGGAACTTTTCCCAGCACAATGGTACTGACGGCACAACACACGCGAAGACTCTGTTTGTGCGCACAGACGTTTGCCGATATTAGACCCTATTACGCTACGTGGTGCAACTTATCACGATCTGTAGGGTTTTCCCTTTCTCTGTGTGCCTATCGGTCTCGACCCAGTTTTATGTTGTTTCCGATTCATCCATCGCGACTGTGGTTTCCCCATACCACTGACCCACCAATCGATGCCGATCCGACCATGTTTGCTTTAGCTTATCCGTGCACACAACGGACACCCCCTATACATCTTACCCCGTTCTGTTGCTGATTATCGATTGATGCAGATCTGACACCCGTTCACTGTGGCACTGTGTGCTGAGTTTTAAACTAATAAAAATATGAATACAACCAGAAGCGAACATAGACGAACCGGTGGAATTTGCGACTGGATTAGCGAATATGAAGGACCCAAAGTATTTTGTCCAATGAATTTGCACAACGTTTGTGATGGTATACATCTTATAACTCTTAACAAATACAATTATTCTAGCCAAACACTTTCAATTCAACGTAATGTGTATATGTAATCTTCAATTGTTTATGATATCTACTGTACTCAGAATAGAAATATTGACTGGCTATTTTAGTTTCGCGAAATGTGTATGCTGCAGCATTTCTATCCTTGCTGATGTGTTGCAGAGACTTCGTCGTTTCTATAACAGGGTAAAGATCGGTTGTGTAGGCGTGTTTGTAAATGCAATTTACTGTGTAATTTCTTGTATACCATTTGGGTGTGTGTGTGTGTGTGTGGGTGTCTTGGCGAGCCGTTCTTTAACATAGCTACGGTTAAAAGTTTTTGATAGTTAGTCCCATTCCCACTATGCTCTTTCCTTGGTGCTTTGGGATGCAATGTCAATGGACGACTACCAGTCTGACTTTTATGAACATGTGTTGTACCTCGATGTTATTTTCGTGGGCTCGATACTACTTCAACCTACTTGTTTGAATATCGCTTCCTAAATCTCTTGTTATAAGGAGTAACCAATTGACTAGACCGATTTTCCACAGAAGCGCACACACCTACACCCACAACGACATTTGGCACCCACAGGATTGTCGTGGTATTAAGCAAAACAACTGCGAAGTTGCGTGTCTCCAAGGCTGGGAAGATGTAATCATTAAATCCTGGAGCTCAAAATACATCAGTGACAGCGGATTTAACAGCCTAGCAACAGTCGAATCTAATTAATTTCACATGATAAACTGCTCCAGTCTTTTGATCAGTAGTCAGTTCTATGGAAAGTCCTTGAATCCATCATTCCCTGCTGAGCTTTCTGTATTCGAATCCAGACAGCACACTTAGTGCAATGGAAACCTGAATAAAAAGTACAAGGTGAGTCGAATGTCTTGATGAGCATTCATCAAACGTCAATGGTGACCGCTGATTAATGTTGTCTGCCAAAAAAAGATGCAGCTAAACACTCAATATTCATGGGAACGTTTCCGGCTTGCAACCCAAGAATTCTGAGACTATTCATCATTGTTTTCTGGAATGATACAGTAATTTGTAGGTACAATGCACAGTATCTTCATAACGAAATAAAATAGGACAGCCAAGAGTAGATTTACGTGAGATATCCCAGTCCATTTTACAGCTTACACACACATATTGCAGGATCTTAGGTCTAGACAAATTGTGAACAACGTTGGTCACCAAACACTTCCCTAATTTTCCCGTTAATAAACGTGTTTGGTGAGTGACATTATTCACAATGTTCCTTGGCACGCTGTGTTTCATGCCCTCCTGATTCCAAACTATGTGCCAAACAAATCACGGTGCAATAATCGTTATAACGGAAAAAGTTGATTTGCTTGTAGGCTGGATACTGCCCGGTTGCCCAGACCGGTCTAAGGAAGTTTCCTAAAGGTTTACAACGAGAACCCTCCGCAATCTACAGTTTGGCCCACAAGGCAATGGTGTGTGTGTGGTATAGATACTGCGATCTGTTGGGGGCTGTTGTGCAACTACTTTGAGTATGCACCCTTTTCTTTAGCATCTGACCACATATTGATCATTATTCGAACTGCAGTGTGCACATATTCAGATGCAGCAAAATGATCCAGAGGACATTGTGCAAATCTGTTCTCGGTTTCTCCCTTTTGATTGGTACGTTCATTTCTGGTCACAATTTATTCATTTTTGAAGTCTATAAGATTGACATCATTTTCGTCCGTGCTTACCTTTATATCTGTTCCTCCCCGATAGTGGTCCGGTAATCGGCGCGGCTGGTGGGAATCCGAACTTGCCCGGTGTAGCTGAAGATCCAAATTCCACTCTCACATATGCCACAGATAATAGTCGATCGCAAATCTGTCAGGTGTCCACCTCTGGCACAAATGCTTACACATCCGGAGAGGGAAACTCATCGGAGGTTTCGACTCCATGTGGAAATCCAGTGGATAGTATCGCCACAGGTCCCAGTCCTGGTGATTCCCCGATTTCTCAAGGCGGGTCGCGTCGACCGGCCTATGATGACGAAGAAGATGATGAACAATGCAAACCACGAAGTCTGCGTTTTACATGGTCCATGCGGACCACAAGTCACCTACCGCCGATTGAGATAATTCATGAGATTAAAAGGGTCCTCACGGAAAATAATTGTGTCTACGAAAAGCAGAATAAATACCTCCTAGTGTGCGATTACGGGGATCCAAGCACCGATGCCAATGTTCAATGGGAAATGGAAGTCTGCCGGTTACCCCGTCTGTCAATGAATGCAGTTCGTTTTAGGCGTATATCGGGTACTGCAGTTGCTTATAAGAATATTGCCCATAAGATTGCAGATCAGCTGAAGCTTTGAACCCGAACTACCTGCTTGATGAGGTTCGTTTTGACACTCTTGGGCATATCCAGCCACATCGATCGATCCATATTACCTGGGGTTAGATCGGATTTAAACGGGTCACTTCTTCCCTTATCTTCCACATCACCTTATCCCACCAGTCGGTGCTTCGTACACGCTACGTTCCATCTGAATTATTGACTGACTGACTTGTTCGTACGTTCGTGTGTAGACGTGTGTGCTTGTGTATACTGGAGTCACATTGTGTCGTCCAATTCTGTATGGACACACCTGTTCGCATACACCTCAACACATCACGGAGTGTGCCGGGGTTGGTTCATTTTGTGACCTAAGAACAGCAGAACTCATGAGTTGCACTTTTTTGGATGGCTATTCTGCCCTTTATCTCGAACAAATTGCTTTTTGTCTAATATTTCTTTCGCTTCATTTGGGCCGCGTCTCTCACGTTCTCGCTTTTCGCTCGCCTGCCCACCCACACACCTGTACCCCTGTCTATCTATCGGACTGCCGTTCGCAGTTGCGATTCTGTTTATCGAGACATCGATTCGTTTTCCCATGTACAGAGGAGTGTCTCCATCATATGCATGACTGATTTCTATCTCCTTGTCCAACACTGGACTCAAGTATCTCCTCATCCTCCAGTCCCCTTACATGCCATTGGTAACCTCATTCAGGGCTTTGGTCTATCCCAACAACATGCACAAGCATCAAAGCGCGAATTAAATGCCTTTCTTTCATTGCACCGATTCTGACCGATTGAACAAACACTGTTTCGTTATTGTCTTTCTCCATTCCAGCTGAGACCGATCTTCACATTAAAACTTCATTTTCATTGTTAAAATCTCCCCTTTCA